ACCGCCGGCTCTGGGAGCGAACCTTCCCGACTTAGCATGGACACGAACCGTCGAAGCTTCCAGAATGTTCTAGAAGGTTCTCGATCGTGCGTAATTCCCGGAATCGAGCGCAAAATTCCCGGAATGTGACGCAAAATTCCCGGAATCGAGCAAAAATTCTTGGAATCGAGGGTTCTGATGACGTCACTTTCAGAAATCGTAGAGCTCACGACGGCAACTTAGCACGGACACCCACCTTCGAAGGTTCTGGAGTGTCGGTATATGTCGGTTACAGGTCTCCTGGTCCAGAACTCCCAAACTTATACTACTCCCAGTAACCGTTAGAACGATCGGACTGAAATTTGGCACGCAAGTAAAGTAGATATTTCTCTTTAAATGGTGTGATTTTTAATGAAATATATGCAACCATTCAGATTTTATGTTATTTAACATTTTTTTAAAAAAGGGCGTGGGCGCTCTAACTTTCGTGAAGGTTCGACGATTTAGCTAAATAGTTCTTCATAACTGAAGATACGTTCAATGTTCTTTATTATTGAATTTCGACAAGATCGCTAAAGCGGTTCAGATTTTACGTGTTTTCAAATTTTAAAAAAATTATCATTATTGCATTAGCTTCCGCAAAATTTCAAGAAGTTAACCAAAACTTTATACACAATGAAAATATGATGCAACGGTGCTTCTTACGGCGTGCCATAGCCGTGTAATGTGGCTCATTTTACGTGGTTTTGAAATTTTCAAAAAATTGTCGTTATTGCATCAGCTTCCACAAAATTTAAGGAAGTGAGCCAAAACTTTGTACATAATGAAAATATGATGCAACCGTGTTTGTTACGTCGTTTCATAGCCGTGTGTAACGTGGCTAGTTTTTTTTAGATTATACATTTTTTATTTTTTATTCCTGTAGGTACCAAAGTTCATAACTCGCGAAAATAAATCAAAGAACTTCCTCATAGTGCAGGCTTTGTGAACGAAGGAAAAGAATCAAGAAGCAAAGTGTAAGATTCTACTTTGCATCATTGTGATAGAAAAAACCGAGTAAAATAATGAGGAAGCAATTTGTAAGGTTCTACTTTGCAGCTTTTTGTTAAATACATGTATCAGAAATGATAGTGCATTTTAAATATAAAATTAGTAAATGGCAAGGTCATTAAGTAGATTTCTAATTTACCCATAGCACTAATAATAAGAAATATATATGTAAAAAAAAATAAAAAGTTTTTATTAATCATAGGAAAAAATATTTACTAAAGTTTTTTGTCAAAGAAAAATCATATGTACAATTTGTAAGCGACAATTGTGATCTAGTAGAGAATAAAACGAATAATGCTAGATTGCAAAAAAACAAAAGAAATAAAAGAATAGATCTAACGAAGAAAGTAGCAGTGACTGGGAATTAAGTGAGTTAGGAAAGATATTACAGATGCATCGACTATGGAAACTCGCAGCAATTCCTTACAAACCAGCCATGATCCAATTGCAAAACTCAATTTTTCTTTTCTTCTGATCCTTACAAAAATCTTTCTTTCCCTAACTGTTCCTTCAAAATTTCCATTCTAAGATCGTGTTCCTGCTTCATAATTTGTATTTCTAACTTGTGCTTTTCTTCCATATAACGCAACGTTTCATCCATTTTTTTCATTTGCAATTCGAGCATGGCTGCTTCGTAGGCTGTCATATTTTTTTTTATCTTCTTTGGTACTGGCTCAGGCGAGGTCCTATCCCCATGACTTCTTTTTCCAACTTCCGTGGAACACGACGGATCTGCCTGAGGTAGGTTCGACTGTATAAGTACTAATTCACTAAAATATATTTTAACCAAATTAAAAATTGCTACTTGTCATTTTTATAAATTAATCATCAATCACGCAGATTTAAATCTTTGGGACGTAAAATACAACATTATAAATGAATAAGGAAGATGACAATACGAATACAAATATATCTAATTCACTAAAATATATTTTAACCAAATTAAAAATTGCTACTTGTCATTTTTATAAATTAATCATCAATCACGCAGATTTAAATCTTTGGGACGTAAAATACAACATCATAAACAAATAAGGAAGATGACAATATGAATACGAATATATCAAGTATTATTATACCCAGTTGTCGGATCCAGTTCGTAAGTGACTTCATTCTCAGACTCTTACACCGTGTTCAGTGTTGGGTTCGTTCTTCTCTGCAAATGTGAATATATTTCGAATAATATATATAATAATGTAGATTAATATAAATTATTAAAACTATAATACAAATAATACATACTAGGCTATCGGAGTCGTGGGGATTTTCATCCTCCACAAAATCTTCCGGGCAAATTTCACTGATTGTGAAATCGAGCCTGGAAGGTTCTGGGAGTGCAGGACCTCCCCCTATACCAGTCGCATGCTTGCGATAGCAAGAAATAGTCTTCTTTGCTGCGAGTTTCCACCGCTGATATGCACCTCTAATATCTTTCCAATCCCTCTTAATTCCAGTCGCTGCCATTTTCTCTGTTAGTTCCATCCATTTGTCTCTGCTACTCTTTTGCAATCTAGTATTATTTGCTTTATTCTCTAATACATCACGATTGTCGCTTACAAATTGTACGACAGTTATAAGCCACTTCTGGCCGTCACAACAAACCCCCACCACTGTCCCCTGTGAGTCATGGAGCGCGCAGCGCTCTGACCCCCCGCGCTGCACTTCCTGTTAACGTACCTTTAGCTAAAAGCGGCTTAAAAGCGAGTTCTGAATACGGGCTTGTATGTCATAAAACCTGCTATAAAATTGTTCATCGGCGACATATCTTGTGATATACCTTGTGTCTGTATACTATACATTTCATATTTATAAACAAACGAAAAAAAAAACAATACTCTTTATCGTCTTTTACAAATTAAAGAGAGTGAGATACAGTTGTAGGTTAATATTTATGGTGGAATAATCTACATATTCGTGTCGGTATCTTAAAGACTAATACGAAAAATCGCTGCTTGTAACAAATGAATACAGTGTAAAATATGATTTCAACGTTTATAAATATTCGCTCTTTTATGCTATTTAATATCGTTTAATGTTTCATTATCTGCACGGTATATAGCACAGACCATCCAGCATGATATGTCTGTTTTGAGGGATTGGAGACAACAAGTCTTTTTGATTTATACAATGGGTCGATCCAATTGTGTTTTTGACTCGAAATGCATGAACATGTTCGAAAAACTCGAGTGTCACTAATCTTAGGACTACAAAATATACATCTGAAGTACTACTTATTAAAATATACTTGATTATGCCGTATATGAATTCATTATCTTCTCTATCTATTGTTAGAATCATATTTTTGCAATACACTGTCCCAATAATCTTCACCCACGTCGATTTGAAAGGAGCGTTTTCGAGATTTTCCGGTAAATACTATTTAAAGAAATTGTAATCAGGAAAATCATAAAGCTTGGCGTGTGTGTCAGGGCCAATCGATAATCTGAGTTCAAAGCCTTCAAAGCTCAAAGATGTTTTGCGCTTGAATTTTCAAATTTCTATGCTACTCTTCAAACCGTATGCATACTTTCCACAGAGGCCGATTAGTAATTCGTGGATAATCCAATAGAAAATGAAATTTTAGCTTCAGTTTATCTTTGAATAACTTCAAATATAATGAATGATGATTTGAAATGAGAGCCTTTACAAATTTTATTTCATCGATATGAACAGTCAGATTCATTAGGATGCATAAGATCGATCGCAACATTTGGTATAGTTTCCACGCTTCGTTATCCGTAGGAACTAAATCGCATATCATTAATCCGAACAATCGCACGAAAGAAAGCACTTCTGAACTAAAAATTATAAGATTTCCAGTAGTCAACGATTTTATTTTTATCTCAGGCAAGTTTTTTGAGCCACAAGCAGTGCCATAATCGAAATACTTAATTTGATTATTCAAGTCAGATAAACTAAGTATTTTACCTACGTTGACAATCCGATTAAGAATTTTTGCCATATCATAGAGGCATATACCCTCCAGAAGATCGTGCATGACATCGGCATAAAAATTCATCGTCATGTGGTAATGCGCGGTTTCGTGAAAAACACATTTGTCTCTGATACCTCGTTGACGTATTCATTATTTAAACTTGTCTCGAATAAGACTAGGATCCTCTTTTATTTGTTTCTGTACAACGCTTTCCACAGCACAGCCAAATTAGCATGAGTATGTAGAATTGAAGCTTTCATGTAATCCAAATATCGAATGAAAACCGAGATTTTCACCTAGTATCAAAGATAAAACGAAGTAAACTTGCCGCGGTGCACCATTTACATTTATCGGTACTTACATTATACCGGTACTTTCGAGAAAATTCAATTCTTGTACAAGACATCGGAATATATTCAAATTTCCAAGCGTCTGTTAATTTTGTCTATTATGCAGTTCAACCAATAGAATATTTTCAGTCATTGACATGTACTTTGTTGGTATATCTCCAATTCGACAATAGATGACGCCGATTTTGTGTATATCCGTATGTGTACCAAGTAATTGTTCACTTCAAAATCGTCGAACGAAATCAACAATAGCAGAACTAATTTTTCTTTAATTTTACTTTCAAGGTCCTTCCGAAGTTGGTTTCCAATTATGTTCGAAACCAAATACGATTGCTTGTATTTGTTTATATAAGTTATTATTGTTTAGAACAAGTTAAACAGCTCTAAAAAGTGAAGTCAAACTTTTCTTAGCGGAATGATTTGTGCTTCTAAATTTTTAACTATCATTTGAGATTCACCTTGAGAAAAAGCTGCATCGTCACCTGCGCCAACGACAACTGATACCAACTATTCGCTGCTACGAAAGTATTGATTTCTTTTATATTCCGTTAAGAATTCACTAAACGACTTTTTCAAAGAGTCAAACATTCCATAGAAATACTTATTCTGATTGTTTGCGAAGCTGCACTGTTCTTTTATTACTTGTTAGAAAATATAAAGAACCTTGTCTGCCTAATAACTCGCGCACCCTCATAGTCATAATTCCTTAAAAGTTCCATGGCTCGTTGACTAAATGCATTTTGAGAATTTGATTTTTGCTGTATTATCACCAAGGGGATGATCGCGTGACAACTTAAACTCGAAAAGTATAAAAACCCGCGGAATCAAGGGAAAATTAGTCAGTCTTGCCCCGACTAACCGACTCACCCTATGAAGCTCTCGGCGGTCCCGTCCATCTGGCAAACAGAACGTCCAGATCCAAGTCTTGCCAATTCTGCAACCCCCACCTTCGCCCAAGTCTGTGAAACACTAGATGTTGTCTCTCTCTAGCGATACGGCCGCCCCGCCATCCAGCGATCCCCGGTCTCGGCATTCCTAAGTCCGCTGCCGTCCTCACCAGAACATTCAGGGCCGAGTACCGCAGCTACCCCCTGCGACTCCCGAAGGACCACGAGCACTAACCAGCGGAGAAAGAGACGCACCGAATACGTCAAACGGAAGTCGACAGAATGGTTTGACACCCCGTAAAACGGAAATTGTTATTTGAATAAAAAGGGTTAGACAACCCACAGAATTGTTCTTCCTCAAATCGTCCAAATTATTAAAATAGCATAATACTTTTAGTATATCATTAGGTGATAACAACTGCATTGCACTTTCAATAAAATATTGAATACTCCGATTGATGGAAAGATCAGCATTCAGAGATCCTATAAAAGCCAGTTCTCAATACAAACATTCTCGATTTCTCGCGATACTTTATCATTCATACTGACATCGCACAGATGATTTTCCAAAGATCCCGAATCAATAGACAAAGAATCTTGAGAATGTTTTATGATTAAATGTTTTTGAAAAGCAGAGACAAAACTATAGTTTCGAGTGTAGTGAGCTTGGCTACAACGTAATACAGCGTAAGTTGCTGTTTTGTGCTTTAGTTTCAAGTGACCGATAATAAGCGGAATATTTCTTGACATAAATTGACAAAGAGGACAATCAAAGTCCATGTTTTTTTTTAACGAACAATTAGATAAATGGCGATTTGGGACAGTATTTATACACAATAGAGTGACGAAACGATGATTTGTTAACACGAAATCTTCACTTTACTATGTTAAATACGAAACAGTTATTGTTATGTGTGTTACCTTCGACATGTTCGATCTGCAAGAAAAGTACGTGGAGGACGAACTTAATTATTATTTTTGGGATTCTTACCGCTTTAAAGTGCTTACGCACACTCAACTGTTTTCTGTTGCTTGTTCCGAATGTGTTGTAACGTTTGTCGAGAGTGCAATTTCGTACGCTCCTTATGAGTGTACGATGTATGTACGGTGTATGTATCGCCGAGACTCTTTACTCGAAGTATCTCTTGTACCTGTGTTTCGACTCAAATATCTTATGAACGGCTGTATGTGAGAAAAATTTATTGATACATTCACCGTAGGAATCAAGGGTTCTGAATTGATTGCCATCAAATTCAATATGATTAGTGTACAGGATCAGGACTTATTCACATGGCGAGCGAGATGATTTTATTTCAGGTCCGTCGTCGTCGTCGTCGTCGTCTTCGCACGTCCATCGCCTTTTTTACACGACAGATAGCGCTGACTGCTTTGCCTTCTTTACCTATTTGTACTCTCTATGGTGTTAGTAATTTACGAATACATAACACAATCAAATACACTTTATACGTGAAACTACCGTTCATACCGAATTTCCAGTTAGTATAAGGGTGCTTTCACAACCGTATTGAATTATTAAGTTTTTAATAGCATTCACGTGGAGCGCGCTTGTATGGGTGTATGTATATGCATGCTTCGACATAGTTCCTCGTATTTTAGGTGACAGTTTGTGCAGGTGTTCCGCCCAGTAGTTTCTTGTATCTAGATGCTAGATGTAGAAGACCAGGGTGTCTAGGTGTTCCGCTCCGTAGTTTCTTGCATTTAGGTGTCAGACGTGGAAGTTCAGGGCGTTCAGGTGTTCCGCTCCGTAGTTTCTTGTATCTAGGTGTCGGACGTAGAAGTTCAGAAAAGTGTGCAGCAAGTGCCGCTTTGGCGCTTCGCTATAGTATCCTAACTATAGAATCCTCTCTGATGTTCGCACGGCCTGAGGTACGTAAATAATCCAGCATACTCTCCTCTCTTACGTTTACTACACGCCTTCAACAAGCTGAACACCATTAACGACGCTTATATGCATTGAAGATTACATTTTCTTTAAAAATTTGTATATGCCTTTATGCATTTCTAGAAAAAAGGGACTTACAAATTAAATTTATATGCTGTTAAACATTTTCGACAACG